TAGTTTCCCCTCCCCCTCCCATTCCATCCACTTCACTGCTGCCGCATCCAGGGGAGCAGGGCACAGTGCGGGGAGCAAGGCCAGCTGTACTGGCCTCTCCCCCCGCTCCTTCCCGTGTCCCCACCATCGTGGCGGTGCACTGCCACCTGTCTAAACGCTTCTTTGCACTCATTGACTGTGTGTCAGCCAATCAGAGCACGAATAGAGCGTTATAGACAGACAGACAGACCGACCGACCAAGGCTTTTATAATATTAGAATATTTTTGGTTGGGGTACTTGAGGGAAGAAGGCAAAGGGCACCCAGTAGCTTTCATAGATACATGGGAGCCTAGAAAGGTGGGAAAGGAGCCCCACATCTTGCTTCACAGAGAAGCATTACAGTTTAGTGTTTGCCCTGTTTAGGGGACACTATCTATATGAGTTTTTACAACAGCCAAGTCCACGTACTGTAGTCTTTTCTTAGACTGAGGCTCATATTGATGCAAGAACTACTATATGCTGACTTTTTAAAAGTGTGCTTTATCTTGGGAGTTCAAAAATAAAAGGAAATAATTTGCAGCTATTATGAGATTATTCTTATACACTTAACTGTATTTTTAATAGTACCAGGGCAATATGTGCTAACTTTTTAACATAAGCCATGCAAACTAACTAGATACAAAGTCACCTTTTGTAACCCACAATATTACTAACCTGGACATTTCTAGTTTTCCTTCTGTATGGTGTTCCAGTTTTGTGAGCTCAGGCTGAAGAAAAGTATCCAATAAGTAAAAGGCAAAGTTTATTTCCTCAGATGAAGGAACATGCCACTGGATATCCAGGTTCCACAAGTCGCCTGGTTTACCCCAGTCCTATACAAACAGAAGCACAACATTTCTCCATTTAGCAAGCTATAAAGCAAAACACTTGTTTAAAAAGTACTTAAATGAATACTTATTTCCAAACACAAAAAATGTTCCTTTAAAAATAACAAACCACTCCTAAATATGAATTTGAATGGTTTTGAAAGATTGAAATATAGTTGCCAACCCAAGGGGGAAGAAAAAAAAAATCTGTAATACATTTGGAACACAAAGACAAGCTTGAAATGAATAATTAGCTAAAGACTTCTGCATTTGCATCAAGACAATCTTCCCACCCGAAGACAGAGAAAGTGCCCAGTTATAACTTAATAACTATTCTCCAACTATTTGGGTTGGTCTAATAAAAGATATCAAATTCACCCAAGCAACCTTGTCTGCCTATATCCTTAGACCAACACGGCTACAACCTACACCCCTGCAGTTATGACTTCCATTTTTGATCTTTCCAGCAAAGATCAGAAAAACCTTAAGACTGAAATCTGGTAAGATGGTTATCATTTGAGCTACAATCATGAAATTAGGTATCCTCATTCAGCACCCAAAGACTCCACAAATTTTACATTAACCATTTCATGCTGCATCTGGCTAGCATGGTTCTCCATGTTAACAATGTACCTCTTATTTCTTGATTTCTACGCAGCAGAGCTCATTACGCTATAGAATCCGCAAATTTGGAGTGCACAGAAAAATGCTTAAAAGTGAGCAAATTAACAGAGACTGGAGACTTGCCACAGAACATCTGCTATGTAGTTACTCTTCTTGTGGCTGTAATCATCCCATGACAGAAACATAACAAAATAGGACTCAGAGATTTTCAGAAGTGATCTATAGTCTATGCCTTCTGGCCAGAGGCAGAACCATCCCTATCCAACTTGTCCTACATAAATCCATCGTCTAACCTATTAGTAAAGCTACACATTTACCTCTGACACAGCCACAAGACATAACACCCTAACCTGCCACAGGTTAGGCAGGGGGAAAATAGCAGCCCATTTCCTGCTGCTGCAAGGGCTGTTAAATAGTCAATAAATGAACACTAAATCAGAACAACTTGGACCTGTTTCTTTCACAGCTGAGTTGTCCTACTTAACAGATACTGAACATCAGAAATTCTGCTTTAAGTCTCCAACCACTGAATTTAGCGTGATTATTTGTTCATGCTCTGAGATATTCAGAGGAAATATAGATGTGAAGTGAGCTAGTAATAAGCACACTCTTCCCTGCTTATGAGGGTGAGAGATCCAAATTAGCTATGGTTGCATCATCTGAGTCTGCTTGCCAGCTGCCTCTGTATCCACTGACCTTCTCTAACACTATGCAGTGCTCTGTGAATAAGATCTTACCAATATTTCTAAAGCTTTTAGTTTAGCAGACCCTGGAAATAAATCAATCAATCTAGTACAAGGAACAAAGTGAAGACTACAGTTGTACAAAGCAGTCTGCTGCTAATTTGTCATCTTCAGGGAAAAATAACCAAGCTCTCCATGAAAATCGACAGAACGATAAGAAAAGATAGGAAAAAAACCCCAGGAGACAAAAGAAGCAACAGATAAAAAATTATGACAATTTCCAGTTGTTATAAAAAGGGCTAGTTAAGCATGTGCTAAGCACTTAAAAAGACACAAAGAGCACTTAAGAATGTCGCTTCCTCTTCATATCAACCTTGAAGTAACATAGGTATATTCTTACTATAAGGCATGCACAGTTATGTGACTTAATTTTCATTTCATATAAATGCTTAACTGCATTAGCTTTCAGGTAACGATGGTGAGACCTGCAATGATTTTATTTTATGAAAGCTTGATTAGGCTTCTTTAGAGACTGGATAACCAACTGACAATTTGTCCTTTGTTTGCATGTTATACATCAATAGGTCACCTCAAGGATGATATAAACCAGCAGACTTGCAAATAATTCAAGTATGTGTGTGTATATATACATATATATTTACACACACACACACACACCCCCCTGCTGCCTCTAATCTTATTTTAACTAAATTGGAAATGCAACAACATAGTTTAATTGTAGATTTGTAACTCTGATCATCGTATGTAAATAACTCTTGGAATGTCTGTCTAATTCTCCGTACTGATCATCTTTACATGCATTTGTTTTATTATTAATATATTCCAATATCTCCATTTGTAAAAAGAAAGGGTATAGATTTGGATCAACAGATAAAAGGAAAGATAGCATTTTTGAAGATCATATCTAACATGTCAGTGATTTTTTCTGACAGGTATTTATATCATTTATTTGCTTTAAAAGAATAGCTGGAATATCAAA